GCCGACGCCGAGGAGGCTCCTGCTGAGGCCGGGTCTCCCAGCTCCGCGTCACCCCCGGCCGACGGGCGCCTCAAGGCTGCAGCCAAGCGCGTCACGTTCCCATCGGACGAGGACATCGTATCCGGAGCGGTGGAGCCCAAAGACCCCTGGAGACATGGTAGCTACGGTGGGGGCGCGGGGGCGGCTCGAGGGGCACCCGGACAGGCCCGGCACGGAGGTGGCTCGATGCATTGCACTGTGTTGCTTTAGGAAACAATGGGCCGTTTAGAGTTGGAGCCTTTTAGAGAGGGAATGGCTATAGGATTGGGAAGGTGGAAAGCATTGGATTTCTGTACCCTGTCTGGTACGCTGAGGATGATCGTGTTAGGATTTAAAGCGATGGGCAGTTAAAGTTGGATGGTTTTTGAGGATGGCGGCCTTTGAGTTCATAGTTCTCCTAAAGAGGAAAGAGCAATTGAAGAGGAAGAATAGCTCAACATTGGCCCAGAAAAGATCGTTGGGAGAGTTTAATGGGCCCTCCGAGATGTCAGAAGGCTAAGTCGTCCTGTGCAGGCTTCAGAACAAGGGGTGGCCATGCAGATCACTTTCTTGGCTGAAAGAAAAACCTAGGCTGTGGCTGAGAGGAATTGGTAAATTCTAGGGGTGAGAAAAGGGAGTCAAGCTGGGTGTGATGATGCACGCCTGTAATCCCAGCCCTCGCTAGGCTGAGGCAGGAGGATCTCTGTGAGTTCTAGACCAGACTGGGCTACATACATAGTGAGTTCCAAGTCAGTCTCAACTACATAGTGAGGCCCTGTCTCAAAAAGAAAAAGAAAGAAAAGAAAAGAAAAAGGGAGTCAAATTCCCAGAAAAAGAGCAGAGATTGTGGTCATTTTGCTGCTGGGGGAACTAATCACGGTCTGCGTTAGGTCTTGGAATCAAAAGATAGTCACCACTGCATGCCTTCTCCTCCTCCCCTCAAAAGGGAAGCAGAGGATTGTCCATGATTCAGGAGCAGAGGAACTTTGGGGCCTGGCTATAGGAGGATCCCCTTTTTTTGTTCCTGGGAACAAGGTGGGGAATGTTTTGAAGTCAGGAATTGGAGTTTCTGGTCAGTAGGAAATTAGAGCCTTGAAGAAGTCAGGGTTCCTGGGTTGGGGGAGGAGCTTGTGGTGCATGGATTCTAGGCCCGGCAGAGAGGATTGGGCTGGTGTTGGAGGTGAAAGGGCAACCAGAGGGGTGTGTTGGACCCCCAGGACTGGGAGGGTGGAAGTTGTGCCCCTTTCTGTGCTGGAGTCTGCCAATAGGTCTGGAGCAGAGGCTGTGAAGAGAGGGCATTAGCTGGCCATGGCTGTACAGAACTTGATCAGCTGGGCCCAGGAAAAGGGAGGTACTGTTGCCAGTCAGTGGGCACTGGAGGAATTGCTCGCTTTGATGTGAGGGTGGAAAATGTGGTTGCTGGAAACTGAACACACAGGGAGCCCTACCATAAATGCCAGGTTGGCTTGTTATTGTCAAAGAGAGAGTGGTTAATTTAAGACTTGGCCCCCAGACCTCAGGGCTAGGTGGTCAGTATGGGGTTGGCAAGCATGGAGGGCTGGAAAGGAAGAGCCAGAACGGGCTCTAGCTATACTCTGGTGTCCAGTCCAGGGAGTTCATTGCTGGAAGGGTAAAGGCCTGGAGAGGTAGAGCAGGGTGGTTAAGAGCAGAGGCTGCAGGTGCAATCCTGACCCTTCCATTTGCTTACCTACCTTGCATCGTCAGGATGGTTATTTTAGAGCCTCAAGGCTCCGTTTTCTCATCTGTAAAGTGGGTGGCAATACCCATGGCACAGGGCATACAAGAAGACTAAGTAAAATCCTGTATGAAAAGGGGCTGGGCAGGGGGAGCCTTTGTGAAGTGCAGCTGTTGTTTTTAAGCTAGGTTGGTCATTTTAGGGGCCAGCAGCGAGGAGAGGTCGGTGGTGGTGGCTGGAGAGTCAGTGGTGAGTGTGGTTGGAGCGTTTGTCATGGGTTGTGGGTAAAGTTTCTGATCTGCAGTTTCTCTGAAGAGATTTGACTTTGTGGGATAGACTCATCTCTGAGCCCCCTATTTTCTTTTTCTGCCAATGGAGGCACTTGTATCTTGGTTGTGAGAATTAGGATAGCCCTTGTGTCTTGCCACAGATTGGTGATCTGCTCTTTCCCATGGGTGGTTTTGGAGAAGCAGCGAGGGCATTGGAGTAAGGCAGGATGTCATCCCCAGGAGGGTCTGTTCCAGCTCTGGGCGACAGCTTAGGTGGGGGCTCCTTCTGGGCTGGGGAGTCTCCTTCTTAGAGTTGGCCTGGCAGTGAGGGGGTTTTCTCGGGCCTGGGGTGAAGGGGTCTTTTCCAGTCAGTGATTTCAGACAGTGGGATTTTCGGGGCAGAAAAACAGAGGGCCTGTCATCACCAAGGAGCAGGTGACAGACTGCCCAAGGAGGATGGTGGGGTTGTCTGGCCTGCAGGCTGTGGAGGGCAGGCTCACCGGGGTGCAGGAAAGGATCCCAGGTACAGAAGCTTGGTCCTGGCCCAGCTGAGTGGACAGTTAGGTGGGCGGTGGGTCGATCCTGACCAGGGCTGGGGGCGCTTGGGTGGTCTGTGAGCCCGGGGCTGATGGAGTGTCATGCCCTACTGGGTGGCATGACCCCAGCCCAGGCCAAGAGGTGACAAAGAGCTGGTACCTGAACTGAGGGAGACTTGTCCCCCGGAAGCTATTGGCCTCTCAGTTGTCTTGGCTGGGGTTGCAGGAGAGTCCGGGCCCGCCCCCATAGGCCATAGTTTCGAGACGGGGGATCTGCCTGTGTCCTCCCAGTGGGCACCGCATGTCCTTTTATCCGTTCTCCTTGGTGCCCCTCCATGGGAGTGGGAGGGTGGGACTGAGTCTACCCCGTCCCTCTTTCCTTCTTACCTCCAGGAGGCATCTAGTAGCTGTGACAGAGGGGCTGAGCTGCTCGGGAGGAGAGGCCTGCAGGTCGGCCCTGACCACCTGGCTCTGGGGCTTCTTGCTGGGCACTGTTTCCCTCTGTAAAACAAGACTGGCATCTCTGCCCTGCGACCACCCAGGCTGAGAGGAGGGTGGCTGTGGGGGTGGAGAGCTGGAGCCAGGTGTGCGGGGAGGGAAGTGAAGCTTGGCGAGGAGGCGGTGGAAGTCGTGAGTGGAAGAGGCTGCTTCGGTGCTGCCAGGCTGGGCACGTGGGTGCCAGGGGAGGGGCACCGGCCAGCTCACCCCATCACGAGAGGCAGAAGCCGCGGCCACAGCTCTCTCCAGACCACGATGCAGGAATAACCCGAGGCTCTGCCGGTCTCCTGCTCGCAGCTGCTCGGTGTGGGGTTTGCAGGGCTGGTGTGTGAGAGGAGCTTGTGATCAGGGCACGTGACGGGGACTTGTCTCCCGCTCTCCCGTCCTGGGCTCAGCTTCCCGATCAGCAGTCCTGGAGTGTGACGCGACTTTCTCTGGCAGCCTGAGTGTTTTTTGGTGGGGGGTGGGGTAGTGGTGTGGTGTTTTCAAGTGCAGGTCCAAGGGGGTAGAGAGGCGGTACCGTCTGTTCTCATGGAAACCTGTGCTCACGTTCAGTCCTGAAACTGGTCCGACAGGTAGAGAGCAGCAGTCAGCAGTGCGGAGGCCCTGGTTTGGCACTGAGTGGCAGCCTTACTGGGGAGCAGGGAGTGGGGTCCAGGGGGCGGCTCTGATTTCATCTGGGCCCGGCCTCCCCCCTCCTGCTGGAGTAGGCAGGAGTGCTCTCTCTGGGCCTCCCGTTCCTGTCTGGTGTGCACTCCTTGGGGGGGGTCTAAGTGGGGACCCTAGTGCCTGCTTCTTCCTGTCCCCACACTCTCTGCCCCGCCCTGGCTCAGTGTGTCCTTGCTCTGTCACTGTCCCCGCGTCCCACTGTCCCTCAGGCCCACTCCTAAGGATCAGTGCCTCAATCCATGGGAGAGGCCTCACGCTTCAGGCCCGACTCTGCCCCTGTTACCAGCTGGGTGACCATGGGCAAGTCGCCCAGCTTCTCTGCGCTCAAGCTAAATCCATGAGTGTTGGTCGCTAGCCTGAGAGGCAGTCGGGGTGTTAGGACTCCAGCCTTCTGTGCAGCTGACTGGGCAGAGTGGCTCTGCCACCCTGGCCTCTGCAGGGTCATGATCGCGTGCCAGGGCTGGGTGTGCGCCTGCTCCCTGCCCCAGCAGCTCCTGGTGCCCGCACACCCAGGTGTGAAGCCCAGGTTCTTTGCCTCCTGCTCTTGGCTTGGGTTTGCCTGGCATCTTCAGTGCCAGGACAGAGGCCATGCGCAAGTTTCCTCTCTGACCCTGTATGGCTCAAGGGCTGATAGGGGTCAGAAACCCATGATGGCATTTGGGAGGACTTCTTGAGGCTGGTGAGCCTAGTGGGCCTAAGAGAGAGGCCCTTCCGACAGCTGGCGTGGCTGTCGCTGTGCCCGGGGCACCCTGTCTCCACTCTGCCTTCCAGACGGGGTGGCTTGGGAGCGGATCGATAGATGAGCGCTGCCTGCCTGAGCTGAGGTTGGGAGGCAGCTGCCGCAGGAGAGTGTGAGGTCTGGGCAGCCTTAGTTGTCGCCAGGCCGTGGCCCCTATGTGCCAGCCCTGGTCTAAGTGCCTTCATTGTACTGTCGCACTTAAATCTCACAGCCACCCTGGCAGGCAGGTGCTGTCCATCCCAATTTATAGACGAGGAAATGGAGGCACAGAGAAATGAAGTAACTTTCCTAAAGCCACGTAGCCGCCAGATGGCCAGGCTGGGACTAAGACCTGGGCGGTGCGGCCTGGAGCCCGTGCTCAGTTCATTGTGCTGTGTGGTTCCCCCTCTGTACCATAACCCTTTATAAAATGGAGTTGACAGGGACAGAGCTAAGGGCACTCAGGAGGGGTTACTGGGTCCCAGGCAGCGCCAAAGTCTCAGGAGGGTTTGCAGCTGCTGTCTGATGCTCTGTTGCCCTGGCAGATTTTCTGCTTTTCCCAGGGCCGCACCAGGGTACCCATCCTTGCTGCACCAGTGACTTGGTGACCCTGTGACTGGCGCTCAACCTGCCCAGGCACCAGGTGGAAGGGATTGGGGTGGAAGACAGACCAGTCCTTGCCTCTGGAGGTCACAGAGGGTGAGGGAGACTCCAGTAACAGCTCCCCACAGACCAGGGTGTGTGCAGGCAGAGGCGGGGAGGGGACATCTGATAAAGAGGTCACAGGAGCCAGCTAGGTGAGGAATAGCTTTCAGCAGGCAGAGGGAGCAGGGACATCACGGGACAGATAAGCTGGGTGGAGGCAGGGTGGGAGAGCTGCCCGTAGCTGGGCTGCAGAGGAAGGGCCCTGACAGTTGTGCACCAAACCCCTTTGGGTATTTTATTTCATTTTATTTTTTATTTTTTGAAGGCAGCGTCTCACTAAGTTAAACACGCAGTCCTCCTGCCACAGCCTCCTAGGCATGCTCTGCCACCTGCTTGAGAAACATTTTAAACACAACCCAGGAGACAAGGTGGCATGAAAGGAGCTGGCTGGGGGCCCAGCCATAGGCTCTAGGCTTCTCGTGGTCTCAGACTGGCTAATAGTTGATGATTTCACTGATTTCTGAGTCTTCCCTCCCTCCCTTCCCCAGCAGCTGTGCCATTGCCAGTGGTGTTGGTAACACCTGTAGGCTCCAGGGTCCCCACGTGTTCCCTCCTCACCCCTTGGTGCAGCCTTAGCCCGCCCAGCCCCTCCTGCCCTTGGTGGGGTGTTTTGGTAGTGTGCCCCTGGTGTGCCCTCTTCAGGTAGCTTCCTCCACGGTCCCCTCAGGTCGCCCACACCCCAGGGGCCTCACGGCATGTAGGTTTCCTGTCACTCATAACACCCAGAAAACCTCAATTTCTAGAACAAGTCTGGCCCGGGATTCCCAACGGGAGAATAGGGAGCCCATCATGGGCGTTGAGAACTGTAAGCCAGGTGTGGCAGTGCACACCTGTAATCTCACCACACTGGGAGGCTGAGGCAGGAGGATCACTAGCTTGGGCTCAGCCTGGGCCACTTGATGATTTAGCCAGACCCTCAAAGCAAATGTAGAAAGAGCTAGAGATGGAGCTCAGTGCAAAGGCGCTGAGTTTAATCTCCACTGCTGCGCCCACACACAACTGTAATAATGCAGGGGCGACAGAGAGCCCAGACAGGTCCAGCTTTGGTCTTGAGAGTGTCACTCAGCTTGTTGGCCTCAGTGTCTCTCTTTGTAAGCGGCTGGGATTAAATCAGTCGGTACCGGAACAAGCTGGCTGTCACAGGCGCAGTGAGGACACGGAGTGCTGACTGAGGTCAGGTCGCCGCCTGTCAGCCTCAGAGCATCAGATGTCATCCCCTCTGCCCTTGCCGGGAGGGACAGGCATGTGGGCTGGATGGCTGCTAGGAGCCGCATGCAGACTACACGACCTTGGGCAAATCCTGACCTTCGGTGCCACTTCCCCCCTTTGTGAAGCCATTTGGGCACAGCTTTGACTGGGAGGAGCTCAGAGCCAGGCCGGGGCCCTGTAGGCTGCAGCTGCGCAGAGAGGCTGGGGCTGATATTGCAGGTTAGGGTGGGTGGGAGAGGTGGACAGGTCCCCGGTGCTGGGACGGGGTTCAGATGCTGGTGCCAGGGCGCCTGGAGAGGTCCATGTGCTGGCCGCATTTCCTGCTGTGGGAAGGTTCCTCGAAGGCAGGACTCACCTCCCGCGTCGCCTGCCCCCAGAGCCCTGTCCGTGTGGTATCTGGCTCCCCACAGCCTCTCATGGATGATTGGTGGTGGGGAGGGGCACGGTGGGCATCCAGACACCGTTTGCACCCCTCACATTCCTGCAGGCAGCCGGCTGGAGCTGCTCTGATGAGGGGCTGGACGCCTGCTGCCAGCCGCAGCACTTTGGCTCACGTGGTTTGCCTGGAACCGGCTCCCCTCCCAGCAGGAGCCTTGTCCGTGAGCAGGCGGGTGGCCTCTCTTGCAGGCTTGGCAGTTGTGGCCACCGGAGTCAGACTCGTGTGCCACCTCGAGCTCGTGTTCCCCAGCCTCCTCCAGTCCCAGGCTCTGCCAGCTGCCATCAATCATGTAGTCGGAGCTGCTTGTGTTGGGGTTAGCCTCCCACTTTGGCACCACAGGCACCTTCCCACGGAGCTCACTTGATCCCAGAACAAGGGGGGCAGGGAGTGAGAGGCGCTCAGAGATGAAAGCAGAGCCCCCGAAGTGACCAAGTGTAAGGGTCTCGCTTCCAGTGTCACAGTTACATTTCATGGCGTGCTTACTGGGTCTAAGCTGTGTGTATTCATTCATTTCTTTTTTTTGGAGAGATGATCTTGCTGTGTAACTCATGCTAGCCTTGAACTCTGTGTAGCCCAGGTGGGCCTTGAACTTGAGATCTCCCTGCCTCAGCCTCCAGATTGCTGAGATTGCAGGCATGAGTCTCTTCACTGGCTTGTGTTTTCTTCACAGTAGCCTGAGGGGAAACAGGTTGACGGGTGGGAGGGCCACAGAGAGCCTGGGAGCTGGTTCCCCAGCAGGGAGGTTCTGCTCTGGACACGTAGGCTGAGCTCCTTCCCGCACCGATGCCCAGCTGCCCGCCTGCCCTGCCCAGCCCACGGTGCCCCTCGCCAGCCCCCTGCCCTCCTCAGCTGACTCCTGCTCATCCTTCCGGCTGGCTTCTGTCACCTCGCTTAATCCCTAGGCAGAACTCTGCACTCGCCCAAGTTCCCATGGCTGCCTCGCTGTTGTTATTTGTTTAGCCTGTCTCCCCCACTGGACCAGACGTGGCGGCAGCAGTCTGGCTGCTGGGAGCAGCTGAGCTGCTGAGCCCTTGGGAACCTTAGGGACTCCGGCAGAGTGGTCTACTAGGGAGTGGCCCGGCTGGGTGTTGGGAGCCCCTGTCACTGGGGATGGGGCCTCAGAGCAGTTCCGGGTGGAGGAGAGGAAGATCGCCGACTGTTCGCGCACGCACCTGTTCCTTCATTCCCTGCTGCCTGGCAGCTCTTTACCATTGCTTTGCCTCCTGCTTGCTCTGAAGGCCAGTCTGCTCCTTCTCCGGCCACCCGCAGAAGCCACAGCAGTTCAAAAAGCAGACCTTGTTACTCCTGTTGTTTCCCACCGTGCCGGTGACCGTCCGCAGCAGCTGGGAGCCAGTGTGACCTGGCCCTGCCGCCCTCCCAGCCAGCCTGGACCCTCTTGGCTCTGCACCACAGGCTTCGGGCCATGCAAGGAGCTCCCACATCACGTCTGTCCCGGAATGGCACCCCCAGCCTTTCCCCACAGCCCACACTCTAGCCCAGCCCGAGCACCATGAGGGCAGGGTGCACTTGGTCTGGTGCCACTGTTCTCCCCTGGGCCCGGCCTGCGCAGGGGCCTGTACGGCAGGTGGAGAAGGAAGTACAGTGCCATGCTGGTCTCAGCACAGCCCCTGTCCTCATGTCACCCTGGGTCCAGAAGAGGAAGCAGGAAGGGAGGAGGAGGAGCTGCAGAGAGGGACAGCCAGCCAGCCAGCCTGGAGAACGGCAGTTTAGGATGCAGAGCCGTCTTTGTCTGGACTCGCTGTGTGTCGTGGGCCGGGACACTGGCCGAGGTTCTGTGTGTGTGTGTGT